AAAAAAAAAATTGCAGAAGGTAAGGAGAGAATTGCTAACTTTTTTGCTGACGTCATTAAAAAAAAAAAAATCATTGCCAAATCTGGAAGCCCCCAGCCCTTGCTTAAGGTACTTAGGCCCTAGAGAAAATCATTGCCACTGGACCATGCAGAACGACAAGGCCCATGTTCAGGCCATGGCTTACATCACGCAAATTTCTCTTGCCTAACCCCTTGCAGCCCAGCTCCACAGAGCACAAAACCCAGCTCATGAGGCCCACCTACCAAGAACTTGGAAACTCGCGGCATCAAGCCCCTAATTCTTCCTTCCGAAGCCTTGAAGGCCCAGCTCCAAGGACATGCCAAATGTCCACAAGGTACCCAAATTTATGAAAATAATAATAACAAATGCACACTTGCATTCTTCCCTTTAGCACCCTTGTGCATTTGGCAACGCCTTATGCCTTCGGCACCCTCGTGCCTAGCCACTTCCTCTTGCGACATGCAGGCTTGGCACCTTCGGCACCCCGTGCCCTTCGGCATTTTAGATTGCGACATGCAAGTCTTATGCCTTCGGCACCCTTGTGCCCATGCCACATTGTCTTGCGACACGCAAGCTTTGTGTCACCTTCGGCACCCTCGTGCCTAGCCACATTGCCTTGCGTGTGTCGACTTCGGCACCCAAATGCCTGGCCACATCGCCTTGCTACACGCAAGCTTTACGACGCCTTCGGCACCCAAGTGCCTGGCCACATCGCCTTGCGACACACAAGCTTTGCGACGCCTTCGGCACCCAAGTGCCTGGCCACATCGCCTTGCAACATGCAAGCTTTGCGACGCCTTCGGCACCCTTGTGCCTGGCCACATCGCCTTGCGACACGCAAGCTTGGTGACGCCTTCGGCATCCAAGTGCCTAGCCACATTGCCTTGCGACACGTAAGTTTTGTGTCACCTTCGGCACCCTCGTGCCTAGCCACATTGCCTTGCGACACGTAAGTTTTGTGTCACCTTCGGCACCCTCGTGCCTAGCCACATCGCCTTGCAACACGCAAGCTTCACACCTTCAGCACCCTCATGCCTAGGCACATCGCTTTGCGACATACTATGATGCCCTTTGGCACCCTCACCCTTCAGCGTAGTGTTTTTGCTGCAACTTCTCTCCCTCAAATGTCCTTCTTACCCGAGGACTTGGGGGACTGGGGAGAGTGCACTATATGACTTGGAAGATGAACTACAGTGTGGCTCAGCCAGTGCGCTTAAAGTTACAAATCCCCAAGCAAGAAGTACTTTCTTACTCGCGAACTTGGGGGACTACTGTTGACACCGTAACTAACCGAGCAACTAGCTAAGCAAGATTAGCCACGTGCCATGCTTAGAGAGGTCATCACCCTCACCAAAGAAGCCTTGCCACATGTCACTACTATGGGCAATGTCAAGAGTCCCACATTGGAAGACTACAAGAGGTGAAGACTCCCCCTCACCTATAAAAGAAGACTGTTCTCCTCTTGGGATGGGATCGGATCTTATGTGATCCTAGGCTGGGCTCTCTCTTCAGGACTCTCATGCTAGCCTGGCCTTCGAGTCCTAGGTCCCCGGACCCGGGGACTTGACCCCTAGGCTTCAGATTCCTAGCTTTGTATCTTAGGCCCTAGGCCTTCTTCCATTTATCTTTGGGTCTAATCCCCTTGTACAAATGTAAACAATATCATAATGAGAACATCTTCTCCGTGGACGTAGCCGCTCCAGGTCCACATGAAATGTGAAAAATAAATATATTCAGCATTAAGAATCATAAAGCTGCTTCAACCAGAACATAGCAAAAACAATCTCCACCCTACCAAACCAACTTGCACTATTATCCCAACCCCTTCTGTTTCGACCTTCCTAAACAAAAATTCACAAACAGAAATCACCAATTTCCTCTTCATATCATATAAACAACAAGACTATTATTTCCCGTATCCTTCCATTACCTCCACCTAACACAACAAAGAATATCAGATACATCTCCTACACTTTTTACATAAAGCAAAACAATACTATTCCTTTCATACTACCATATATCCAAACCACCCAAAATATCTCATTCCGCATCTGAAAGAATTCAACATCTAAAACACAAATTTCGGATTAGGATTTCTCAGCAAAAACCACAAAACTCCACAAATTCCCCTTCCTTTCCCTTCAACACTAATTCTCCCAGCTACCAGAGCATGCACATTGTCAATCACATAAGCACGTCCAAAACCAATTCCAGTGACTAATAAAAGCAATTAATTAACTGGATAGTAAAACTCACTTGTAGTCGTCGTTTTTTATGAACTCAATAACGATCTCCTTCTCGGGCTGGATATGAAGCATCTTCATCACGAGGCACATAAAAGGCGAGGGCTTACGGTTACCTCCGAAGGTCCCACCGATGTGGTCAAGCTCCATGGCTTTGTCCACTAGGGTTTCGGCTGTCAACCCGAAGCACTGCTCCTTCCAGTACGTGTTCTGGTATATCTTCGACCGTACAATCTTCTCCACCAGGTTTTGCGGGTTCGTCCCCCTTATGCTCTTGGCCGACGGGTCTGTACGGTTCGCCATAACTGGAAGGCGAGAGAAATTGAAATGGAAAGCGGACGAAACAGAGACCCTAACCCTAAAATCAGAGTGAGATAGAGATAAATAGAGACTAGGCGTGGGCACGGTCCGGTTTGGACCGGTTTTTGTTAAAATATAGAACCTGAACCGAAAATGCAGACCGGTTCGGTTTGGACCGGTTTTGCTTAAAATCCATACCAAAATCCGAACCAACCCGGACCTACCGGTTTCCGGTTCTCACGGTTTGGGCTTGCTGTAAGCCCAGTTTGGTTTTTTTGTGTATTTAAGCTTCAAGACCATCTGATTTTTAAAATTTTTGGGCCTTAAACATCACAATTGGCCCAATTCCCATATTGAAACAATCACTATTCTTTGACAAAAATAATAAAACAATCCAATATTAAATTTAAAATTACAACCAACAAGAAAATACACATAATAAAACAAATTAAATTACAGTCAAATTTAAAATTATAACTCCATTCTTTTGTTCTTTTGTTGCCGCATCTCAGAACACCGAGTACACCAAGTGAACCTAGCAGATCTTTTTAACAAAGGATTTCACTGGCTAACACCAACAATAACATCAAACTACAAAATCTTTTTAACATTCATCACTTTAAATAAAACATAGCTGCTCAAGAAATTAATGCACTCACTTTAAATAAAACATAGCTGCTCAACAATAACAAGCAATTGAACTGTCATTCAAATTTATCATGAATTTAAATTATGACCCTAACTAACTTTTGCAGTAAACAGAAACAAATATTGGAACTGAAAGCAATACTCACCTAAAGCAAGGAAAAATCATATTATAAAAAGGACTGCAAATATTGAAACACAATATTGAGCATGGAATCAAGAGAAACGATGTTTGCTTAAAAAGATTATCAGGAAACCTTCTTATTCACTTGAACTTCAAACTTTTTCACAATATGAGCAGCTTCCAATTTGCCACAAATCTGGAAGAAGAATA